CCCCAAAACCCCAAGACCCCAAAACCCCAAAACCCCAAAACCCCATTAGATCAATCTGAGAGTTATAGATGCAGTATATATTTGAAGTGAAATATAATAAAGTTAAAAATTAAAAGCAGAAAATATGTCTCACGTGTAAGTGACATTTAAATTTCAAGTCTGCGGTTATATTTTAAACTTTGTTTAGGGCCTATGATCTGCAACTCGCAGACGCCATGAACGATCTGCAGGAACAGGTAAAATATTAACCACTTGCTATTGCATTAATAATCATTCAATCTATAGGTGAAAGTAGAAAATGTTCCAGCTGAAAAGAATGAGCAGGGTGTTGAGGTAAGTACCCGCCTATCTTCAATTTCAATTCAATTGCCTCTCTTCTCCATTGGAAGTATTAATGAATAATTTAGAACATTGAGACCTGGATGAACGATGAAATCTTCTAGCATCTTGCTTGTCTCTATATAAAGTATATCGACATTTACAGGAAGTTAGAGGAATGCTATGACTAAATGGTCCACCCTCAAAAGAGAATCTTTATAAAGAAAGTGTTGGAATCAACGATTTGTCGTATCTGCGAGATGAAGAAAGACATGGTCCTCTTCAACCCCCGACCTAAGTCGCTCTATGTCCACTTAGATTAGCTACTCTTCGATCTCAAATACGATCCATCAATATTGGAAATCCCAGTACCAAGATATTTCAAAGAAGATGATTAAATTCCAGTTGACTTGGACTTCAAAGAGAAAATTGAGAAGGACACTGGCAAGAAAAAAAAGAAGAAGAAGAAAAAGAAGAAGAAGAAGAAGAAAGACGATGATGATGACGACAAGAAGAAAAAGGAGCCCCCTATTACACTTGACTAAAAATAACAGCTGATAAATACATTGATGACAACTCATGTTGGAACTGATGACCCTGAGGAGGAAATAGTTCATGATCCATTCACTCTAGATATGGATGTAGTGTCAGCTATTAGACTCATCCAGAAGAATGAAAGAGGTCGTTAAGGCAGATACCGTATAATGCTTATCCTTAAAAATCTCAAGTAAAAGAAACTTGAGAACGAGAGAAATAGAAAAATTCGTGAAGGTTTGATTAAGGAGGAATCAAGAGACTAGTAAGAAAATGAAGCTACCTTATTCATTCAGAAGCGTTTGAGAGGTATCCTAGCACGTAAGAAGGTAGAAGAGATGCGTTAAGAAGAAATGGTATTCTTAGGAATGGCAAGAAAGCCAAAGACTAAGGAGGAGTTGAAGAACGATCCCGTAGAGAAGATGCTAAAAACTCAAGAGGACAGAAAGATGAAGCAGCAATAATTCTGGAACTCTTTTGAGGATGCTAAGAAAGAGTTGAAGGGTGAAATTGACGAGAATGAAGGTCTCGATATTCAAGAGTTTATGTTAAAGGAGAGAAGAGACTGGACCTAAGAGTATAAAGCTCTACATGCTAACAAACCCCCAACTGATTTGAAGGAATTTTATGAAAGATTCAACACAGAGACTCCTCTTTCCCCTGAAGAAGAAGAACTTAAGAAGCTTTAGGATGAAGAGGAATCAAAAAATAAAAAGAAAAAGAAGAAGGAAGAGAAAAAAGATAAGGGTAAGAAGAAAAAGAAGAAGGGAGATGGTGATGATGATGAAAAGAAATAGGTTGTTAAGATCGGCCCTTCTGAAGTAGTCTAGAAATTTGATGAGTTCTATGAGGACTATAACGATGTCTGGGCTAACAGAGACGAGAGTGAGAACTATCAATAAGCATTCGATACAGACATGGCTAAAGACGAGGTCATGCCAGAGTTATAAGATGAGTATAAGAAGGAAGTGGATGAACTTATCAAAATTGAGCTTGAAAACATGAGAATCATCGCAGGCATTAAGGCCAAAAAGAAGAAAAAGAAGAAGAAGAAGAAGAAAAAGAAGAAGAAGGGCCTCAAGTTGCCAGGTTTCAAGGCCATCAGAGATATCGATAAGCGTGATCTCCTGGTCTAACTTATATAAAATGGAATTGTTAAGAAACTGCCTCAACAGAAACTAACCGATTTCATAGGAGAGTTCAACTACTTGCACTCAATGTTAGACAATATTAAGGATACACCTTACGATCCCTCAATGGCTTTGATTCGTCAATTGGTAACTGAATACATTATATTCCCTCTGGGTTCAGCACTAGTACGTAAGAGATTCCCAGACAACATAAGATCGTTCTTGTTCTACGGCCCTCCAGGTACTGGAAAGACTATGATTGTAAGATCAGTGGCATACGAGACTAACTCAGTAGTCTTTGATTTAAGTCCACTTAACATCGAAGGCAAATACACCAACAGAAAGGAAGAGGAAAAGCTGATTGCCTCAGTTATGGTTGTCGCCAAGGAATATTAGCCATCGCTTATCTACATCGATGAAGCTGAGAAGGTGTGGCCAGCAAAGAAAAAGGGTAAAAAGAAGAAGAAGAAGAAGGCAGACCCATCTAACCCAGCCAGAATCAAGAAGGCGCTCTCGAAGTGGAAAGGCAAGTTTATAGATGATACGACGCGTATAACAATTATTGGGTGCACTAGCGAGCCAGACGAGGGTAGTAAAAAGGACTTCAAGAAGTTCTTCGACAAGGCCATCTACTTCCCCTTCCCTGATTACACCACTAGAAGACTAATGTGGAAGACTTTCATTGAGCAACTAGGAGGTAAGCTTAGACCAGAGTTTCCACTCAGTACACTAGCACATATCTCACATGGTTACTCCAGTGGTAGTATTAGAAAGACTTGTGAAAAGGTTCTAACATAATACAGAAAGAAACATGTAAGATTAAATCGAGTAATTAACAAATATCTAGATGGAACAAAGACCTTTAACTTTACAGGAGTTCATTGGGCCTCTGTCACTTTGCGCCAACACCATGCAAGATCAATATAAAGACTTTCAAAAGTTCACCGACTACATTACAGAGGACGGAGCCAGGAGAGAGAAGCTAGAAGCAGCTCTTAAAGGAGAGGACGACGACGGAGATCCAAAGAAAAAGAAGGCCAAAAAGAAGAAGAAGTGAGCCGTCAATCATATAGACGTTTTTATATAAAATCTCTCCTTTCTATTCATTATTTCATACATATTAATGCTATTTAAACATTCATTGCCAATGTTTGAATCAGGGGTTTTGGGGTTTTGGGGTTTTGGGG